AGAGAGAGAGAGAGAGAGAGAGAGAGAGAGAGAGAGAGAGAGAGAGAGAGAGATGTGGAAGATTCATTAAACAGTAGCGAATTTCACATGAATCTTCCACTTGAAAGCCGTAAGATTCTCTCTCTCTAGATTCATTAAAAAGGTAGCAAATTTCACATGAATCTTCCACTTGAAAGCGGTAAGATTCTCTCTCTCTCTCTCTCTCTCTCTCTCTCTCTCTCTCTCTCTCTCACACATTGTTCCCTACCCAAGGGAGCACCTAGCCAGCAAGAAATTTCTGATAGACTTCTACTATAGTTCATTCTCCTCCCCTCGCAACAAACAGGCAGGAATTTTTCTGTACATTCTTCTTAACTGTTTCTTTCTCTCTCTCTCTCTCTCTCTCTTCCCGCCCCTTCTTTCACCCCCTACCTCCCTTCCTCGGGTCTCATCACCTGGTGTGACCCCAGAGTCGATGCATACATGAGAAATAACAGAGGAAGTATTCATGAGAAATAACAGAGGACTCAGAGGAGAGTAAGCATTGAAGACAATTTTCAATTTTGTCACATGACCGTTACCACAAGCTGCAAAGTGTGAATCCATCCATGTAAAAAAAAAAAAAAAAAAAAAGTGTGAATCCATCGATCCACGTAACAAAACATCTATGCACATGACACTTACGTGTACGAAATCGAGATACCAGTACGATCACTCCACCTGAACAAACCAGTATAATACAGTATTATACAGTATTATCACACAGTGGGGCTGACTTTAATTCGCTCCAATTGTGCAAAACAAGAAAATGAATCGAACATGGAAAGATACACCGCCACAATTTTTGTCTTTTCTGGATGTGGTGAGTAGTGGAGTGACGCCCAGTACCACACAACCTGAACATTCTTTTCGCTTTAATCTCTCCCTTCTCATTTATATAGGTTACACCGTCACTCTGGAATCGACATCCCCCCAAGGTCCGAGCAGCAAATATGTATATCACGTTTACTATTAAAAAAAAAAAAAAAAAAAAAAAAAAACGTTTACTAGTTATGTACTTTTCAAAGTTTTCATACAGTATACATGTGGGGTGTGGTCGCTATCTTTGCACTAAGCTGCCTTACGCCGAAGCATTACCAATGTCGTCTTCCAGGCAGACCAGTGTCGACGCCAGACACCATCCTCCTCTTCACCCATACAGAGATGCACACACAAAATTGAATGATAGAGAAAGAGTCAACTCCCGCGGCGGGGGAATCCCGCCCATCCACTTAAACCACCAGTGCCTTTGACGCTTGTCTTGCCGAGCCTGGAAACGCCCTGCGCGCCAAAAAAAATGAACCGGTGCGGGCCTCATTCTGGCTGGTGCCGCCAGCCACTTTGCCCTGCTAGGCCGACCCACGAACTTGCAACACGTTAACGGCCGCGTCTGGAAAAAATGGCTGGGCGACTTGCTGGTGGTTTACCTACCAATGGAGAAGCAATATATCGAGCATAACAGCTAGAAGGGAAAAAAAAAAAAAAAAAAAAACAGCAGCAGGCAATCGATCCGCAGCGGCTTCCACAAGTCTTAGAGAGGTTTATGTACATTGAATGATTGAAGTTGATTGAACTACATTCATTCCCCCTTATGGTTTAGTGTTGATTGTTTTACACCCTTTTCACCCCATTGTCGCCCTGTTCGGTCCCGGTCAACTATATGGTGCCATCAGCATGCCGCGGCATACAATCGCGCCAGCACAAACAACACCGTTGGAATCAGGAATGACATGGCGGAACAAAAAAATCAAGCACGCTACATGGTCCTTGCCCTTCTATACAGACCAAGTACCTTTTCTCAGACCTCCTTCGTCGGTACAACGGCACGAGGAGCGGGTGCCGGCGTCATCCGTCATTCCAGTCGTGATCTGAATCGGCACCGAGGACATCGAGCATACGACATCCGCAGAGAGGCTGGCATCTCAAAGCAACGGATGTTGGAACGAAGTGCAAAGAGGCAAATGATACGACTGGCTGCTTGTGATGTACCGCTGTTGTTGGAGTTTCACAAACCCACTTAGGTATTTTACAAAAAGGGGAGGAGCGAAGGGTGTCAATTCGAGAAAAAGAATCCGTAACAGAATCAACTGCACATGGAAATCCTAAAAGGTGAATCCGAAATCAGCAACTCGCATCAAAATCAAAATCAAATTCAACACTGATGATCCTATGGTCTGTCCAGAGCAGAGGAAAGGTACCACCCCTACAGGAAGGTCCCACTCCTAAGGGAAGGTACCAGGTTTGGTACAGTTGATAGGTACAAGACATAGTCCTTTGACTACTCATAGACCGTGCAGATACAATACCCAGCACTGGGTTGCAGGGGCTACAATTGTACTTAAATGGATTGAACTTGTGCAATTCTTGTACAAAAACAATCACTTACAGTCTTAACTTCCTGCAGATGTACATTGGACCTGGTACCTTTCCGTAGACCCAGCGCACCTTCATCACACCTGGTGCGAAATCCATCTGCGGAAGTCCAGAACAAGGAGACCCGAAGAATGTAATTGGATGGCGATGGATTTCGTGTCGTGGATGGCAGCAAAGCTGTTTCCGTGCCGACAAATGTGAGAGTGAGACGGGTGACAGATCAACCAATCCAACGGCCATGCCTGTCCCATGGGCGTGTAGGATACGCCTTTCCGATCATGCTTCGACGGCTGGCGACTTCTCCCGATGCTGTCGCATACTGTGGGAAATACTCGAGGAAAGTCTTTCTCCCTTGTCCTTCCTCGCAACGGAACAGGAAATTGGAAATGTACTCCTGCAGGAAGTCACATGCCAGCCAATCAGTCCATGAAGACAATTGTAGAAATCACAGTCAACCACTCAGATCGACCGATGGGGAGAGAGAGAGAGAGAGAGAGAGAGAGAGAGAGAGAGAGAGAGAGAGAGAGAGAGAGAGAGAGAGAGAGAGAGAGAGAGAGAGAGAGAG